AGGTGCTGCAGTTCTTAATTAGCCCAGGTGTGTTTGATCAGGATTGGAGCTGAACTTTGCAGGAGGCAGATCTCCAGGAACAGGACTGGACACCCCTGCTTTAGGATGTCCATTCTGGCAATGTTCTGGAAATCAAAAACTATTAGCTGTACATGCCTTTACCCCAGACATAACACAACCTGCAAAGCTTATTGTCTCCTACGGATTAAGTTCACAGCTTATTCCTCTTCTTCAGGTGTACCAGGTTGTGGTGATCCGCTCAGGTAGTTACGACTTTGAGCGAGTAGCTATCGAGCGACGCTACTCAGACTTCCTCCACCTTCATCAGGAGCTCCTGCTGGACTTCAGCGAGGAAATGGAGGATGCCCAGATGCCCAGGAAGAAAATGACGGGTAACTTCTCAGAGGAGAACATCGCAGAGCGGCGCGTGGCCCTCAGGGACTCAGCTCTATGGAGGACATTGTGATGCCCAGGAAGAAAATGACGGGTAACTTCTCAGAGGAGAACATCGCAGAGCGGCGCGTGGCCCTCAGGGACTATCTTACTCAGCTCTACTCCCTCCGTTGTGTCCGAAAATCACAAGCGTTTCTAGCGTTCTTCACTCATAAGGAATTAAAACCTTCATATGACCTCCTGCGTGGGGGCCGCTTTTCCCGGGCCCTTGAGGGCCTCCAGAAAGTGTTGGTACTTCAGGAAAAACTATCTTCTCACAACCCTACTATGGTGGTACCAACCTTGTGTGCCATACTGGTGTGCCAAAGGGATCTAGAAGACTCTGACGCAGCATTTCAAACTGGCAGAAGAGCTCTGCCCACGGTGAGACGATACGAGCTCCGGCAGTATCAAGGGCCCCTGCTGGAGGCTCTTGTTGATTTGGGCTACAGTCTTGGGCTGCCTGTGGCCCAGTTACAGGATGAGCTGACCAGAGTGCAAGACTCTCCAAACGGGCAGGTGTCAGAGATGTCCCTTAAAGAACTGGTGGTGCAAGAGTTTGTATAATCAGCAACAACTGCAATGTAGTTGTGTTTACTATAATCATTATTTGATTAATTCCCTAATCCAAAATATTCAACTTCAGAGAGTTAACAGAATAATGAATCTCACCTGAAAGAAAATTCCCAAAAATGTACATTGTAGAGGCCAGAATGTCATAGAGACATGGCACTTTTCCACCGCGTGGTATGACTCGGCACGGCTCGGTTTGTGTTTCCACTGCAGTTTAGTACCGCTTTAGAGCGGGCGGGATTATTCACATGTCGTTATAGTTGCGCCGCCTATACTTCCGCGACTCCTGGAAAACTTTTTCATTCCGCCACGCCCCATCAAGCTCTCGCTGGATCCGCTCCTCTGCTATCAACGAGAGGATCATCTGTACTTCCTCAACAGACCACGAAACAGCCATTTTTGAAATGCATTCAAAACAGCCATGGTTGTTAAAAAAAGGTGTGCTCGTTCAAAACAATTGCATTCGATCCTTCGCTGGCTGTGCTGATTTACATCTAGCAGTTCTGTTGTGTCTCTGTGTCGTAAGTTCAGTGACGCAGGTAGTGACGATTCACGCCCCATCAAGCTCTCGCTGGATCCGCTCCTCTGCTATCAACGAGAGGATCATCTGTACTTCCTCAACAGACCACGAAACAGCCATTTTTGAAATGCATTCAAAACAGCCATGGTTGTTAAAAAAAGGTGTGCTCGTTCAAAACAATTGCATTCAATCCTTCGCTGGCTGTGCTGATTTACATCTAGCGGTTCTGTTGTGTCTCTGTGTCGTAAGTTCAGTGACGCAGGTAGTGACGATTCTCTACGGCCAATCAGTGATCAGCAGAGTTTACACGTCACGTTTTGGTAATGGTACGGTTCACTTGGAACCTCAACCGAGGTGGTATTAAAAAAAGTACCAGGTACCAGGTACTGTACCCAGTGGAAAACCCTCCAAAAGTGAACCATACCGAACCGTACCATGCCGTGCCGTACCATGCAGTTGAAAAAGTGCCATTAATGTGGACTGTCTTGACTTGGACCAGAAAGAAACCATCCAATCACCCAGAAAAAACACATAGCAACATGTCAGATCCACACATCAGTACCCGAACACTGTATACATGAGGATAGCCTGCTTTTACTTGGGGGAAAATGATTGTTCAACGGTTCAACTGTATTTATGTTTTCATGAGCCATAGTTCTTTTATCTCATATTTTTGTTCGTATTTCATTTTTTCTCTGCAAATATTTTACATTCATCTTGGATAATTGTGCAACTGTGAAATTAAATGTCACTCTTGTAAGTTATTCTGGATTGCTTTTCTCTGATTGTGAGCACTTTTAAGCCAGTGAGTGTTGTTACTAGGTACGTTTACATGGACACTTTTTGCTTCCATCGGAATGAATTCATTCTGATTGACGAATCCGAACATAGTGTTTACATGAACGCTAAATAAAGTGATCGAGTTGATATGCATGTTTATATGTCACAAGCTTCTGATCGGATTTAATCTTTTGACATGTGCACACTGCATGAATATACAGAGTTTCCCGCTGTTGTCTCTTACTGTTTTAAAACGCACACGTGATATTTATCTACTTTGGGTCCTAATTAGGTGACGACCAGCCCATGAACTGTTGTGCAGTACTGCTTACTTTATAAAGCAGTAAAAGTGCCCCTTCCTGCACCCAAAACCAGTCGTCATGTTGATGAGAGTCTTAAAAAATGACTAGTGGGACATTGTCCTGCGCCACTTCACAGACGCTGAGTGAAAGGGGAGTTTTATAATGACTGGACACTCATTTATGACACTTTATTCACCAGGAGGAACAGCTCGTTCCGCCTGTCATACGTCATTATGTTATTTCTACGTCACTGCGCATGTGCAGTAATTTCCAGTTTCGGTTTTCAATCCGATCAAGTGTTTACATGTCCTCTCGCTCGGATTACAAAAGGAATAAACTAACCCTTACAATCCGATCTAAATTTTAGTCGGATCTGGCCAATTCAATCCGATTGACGTGTTTACATGTGATTTTTTTTATTCTGATTGTGCTTCTAGTCCTATTACGATCGGATTAGTAGGGTCCATGTAATCTACTGTTAACTAAAACTAAATCCATTAAAATTAGTTTTTATTAACTGAAATATTTTACTTTTGAAATATGGTCAAAACTAAATTAAAATAAAATATAAATATTATATGAAAAACTTAAACATAAAAAACTAATGAAAATTAGAAATAAACCAAAATAAAATAAGTTAAAGTTGAAGTACTATAATTACTAAAACTAAATTGAAATAAAAATAAATTAAAGCTAAATAGAAATATTTAAAAATACACAAAAAGCAAACAAAAACTTACTCCAACTTAGACTAAAATAAAAAAAAGAAACGAAAAATATAAACATTTTATTATTATTATATTATTATTAAAATAATAATATTAGTAAATAGTATTATAATGAATCAAATAACAGTGTTTCAAGCAGACTTAACAGTTTTCACTCTAAATGCTCTTATATGGAAACTTTGAGCCACAATGATTCCCAGAATTTTATTCTATGCTCTTCTAAATAAATTCATTTGTTTGTGTAATTAATATATTTATACTTTTGCAAAACACAGCATCCTACAAAACTCAAACTGAGTGAATTACTAGGTGCATTGATTCCTGGGTTCAAATCCCGGACGAGCCCCCAAATAATGATTTATCCATCAATATTTTTTTGTGTCAATTTTATTTATTTTTAACAAATGTATTTTTTTTAATCTCCAAAACAGAGTCTTTCATTAAATGACATATATGATTGTG